AATGATAACAACGACGTTGAAAATCCAGTTTTCGCAGCGAGGAACTACGGCGCTACTATTAAAAGTAACATAAAGAATTACTTGGAGTAATTCAATTTCTTATAATCTAAAACTTTTATTTTTAATTATATTTATTTATAATTTATTTATAATTATATAATATAATTATATAATATATAATTTTTATTCCTAATTATTTATTTTAATTTTATTTTTAGTTATATTTTTTATTCTAATTATATTTTAAATTTTGATCTTCGCTAAATCTTTAAATTTGTCCAATTTACTTAAATTCAATTAAAAATCTTTATAAAGTTAATATTTTAACTTGAACGTCCTCTCTTTGAGTTTTATTTTCATAGAATTGGATTATCTAACTAGCTTATTTTAAACTCGTTTCTTTCTAGAATTCCTGTTTTAAATTTCCATTTTTGTAGAGTTATTGCTTATTTCTGTAAATTAGACGTAACATCAGGTAGGCAAGTGCCTCTTTACGCAAGACACAAAGTGGCCCCAGCTACAAATCCTCCGGGATTATCAGCAACGTCCAACATCCCCAATATCGGCGGTTTGGTCCAGAACATGAACGACTTAAGTTTAAAAACTAACTTGAACGCTGACTTTTCCAAATCTTCCAATTATTTCGGAGATCTTCCGGATTCCTTGGTACCTGCGTGGCCTGCTTGCTCTGTTTCGCAAAGAGTGAAGAAATTATCCTGGGACGATGACGATAGAGTATCGTATCTTTTTTTTAATATCAAATATTAATATAAACATTAATATTAATGCAATATATAATTAATATTACTAACATTTTAATATGATATACAGAATACAATTAATTACGATTTGTTACAAGAATATCTAGATTGCAAACGGATAAAAGAAAAATAAGAGAATGAAATAAAAGGACGATTGACATGATGTGAACACATGAGAACCTACATCTAGTATTCTAAAAGTTTTTATAAGTTCAAAAACTTTTACACACTCATTCCTTTAAATTGAGAATTATTATATATAAATGTTATTATATTAATTATTCTATTAAATTATTATATATAAATATTTTTTCCATTCTTTTAGACAGTGGATAGCGTAGAGGTGACAGCAGAGACAATGTCCAGAAACAATCAGGTCGGGAACGAACGACTTAATCTCACCGTGTATTTTTAATCACACGAAAAATGAAAGACTGACAAATGGATTCAATTACTGTATTATCTATCGAGTCAAAAAATCGATAGACCGCTTCGATAAATAACTCCTTTATAAATAGACATTATTAAAATGCGTAATAACATTGCCAGATGCTGAATGAATTTAAATAAACTATATATATACAAAATGTACAGTGAACTATACTACATAGTTGCAGGCGATTTATATTAAACGATAATATTCTGTTCTTTAACTTTTACAGTTATTTTATTATAAAAGGTATAAAAATCAAAAGATTTTATAATATGTTATTATCTTTAATTTATATTCAAGTTAAGTAAGACTGGCACAGAAAGCTTTCTGAATAAATTACAATTAATCAATTAAAATTAATTCCGATTAATGGACATGTGAAGAAAAAGATAAAATTTCGACTTCCGTTCAGAACTGTGTCAGTAGGGCGGTGTGATAAGAAATCTTGCATTCTATATATATATATATAT